TTCTGTAGGTGTAGAAGGAGTTTCTTCTTGATGTTCTAATGACTCTTCAATTTCTTTGTGAGCAGTAATTAAGGCATCATACACTTTTTGAAGTAGATCAAATTCTTTGTCTTCTTTGATAGAAAGATTTCCATTTTGTTTCTTAATTCTCAGCTCCTCAACGGTAGCCGCAAAAACTTTCAAAAATGGTTCCATCATTCATAAGCAAATTAATGGAGTCCGGCGCTCCGGAACCAGACCCACACGAAGGTGTTCTGGATGAGCCGGGACTTCACAAGGCCCTTGACTTCAGCACTGATAGTCAAAGCTAAAGAGTAACAATCCAAAACAGTAAAAAATCGAAGGATCGAAATCCAACAATTCAGTGATGAACGATCAGTGGCACAAGATAAGCAACCACAAAGCGAAAACGCAGACGATCTCCAACACCGAGGCGGGAAAACACGTCATCCAAGTACGGGTAGAACACGCAGGTGGAAAAGAGCAACGTCGACAGACAACCTACCCTTACCGCTGCTCCACTGCTTTATAAATAAAAGTCTCTAAGTACTAATCATTGCTTATATCAAGAGAGCCAGTTCACAACACACTGCTGGTTTTATTAAATTAATGTACCCACCCTATTGCAACGTCCACAAAATTAATTTAAACTCATGTGGTGCTTTTAGGAAGACTCAAATTCCTAGAAATTATGTCAAGACCCAATATCACCAACTAACACATTATATCATCCAAGGCAGACTAGAACATGACAGATACTGCCTATTTATCAAGAATTAAGTTAAATACCAATCATTACTTAAATAAAGAAAGGCCAGTTCACAATACTTCCCCAGACTTTATCTTAAAAATGTATCAGTCCAATTGAGATCATGGCAACATTTTACCATTTCTCACCTTCATGGATTTGAAATACTTTACTTCCATTGCGACGTCCACAACAATAATTTAAACTGATGTGGTGCTTTTAGGAAGACTCAAATTTCTAGAAATTATTTGAAATTTGGACTTGATATCACACACTAACCATTATACATTCAAGAGAGTAGAACATATTATTATACTGCCAATTTATCAAGCATTAAGTTAAATAACAACCATTTCTTAAATAAAGAAAGGCCAATTCACAACACATCTCTAGACTTTATCTTAAAAATATATCAGTTCAATTGAGATCATAGCAACATTTTACCATGTCTCACCCACATGGATTTGAATTACTTTACTTCCACAACAATAATTTAAACTGATGCAGTGCTTTTAGGAATTCAAATTTCTACAAATTATTTGGTATAATGTTAAGACTCAAAATCACAGACTAACCATCATTGAAGGCAGACTAGTACACGATATTAATAATGTATTACTGTTTCTTGAAATTATTTTTTAAATGTTCTGCTAATTATTTGGATTAATAAGATTAAATATAAATGTCATAATGCTATATTACAAACAGGCTCTTGATAACAGAAGCTTTAGTTTTTATTACTGGTTCATTTCCGAAATGTTAAATTTACACTCGTGAAACTCCTATATAATTTATTAGAATGCTGATTTCACAGCAGTTCTCAAAGCTTCTTAGAAAACTCAAGTCTTATCACGAATAATTGATACTAAAATTCTTTATAATATAGCTTTTTCAAACAGCCCGAAAAGCACATAGCAGCATAATTGTATCTGACAGGCCGAGCTCAAAACTCAGCATTCTACATTACTTATACAAATCTAAATATAAAAACACTTTGTCACTAACTTAACAAGCAATCAGTAAATTTCCGATCATTAATCAAAGAGAGGCCAATTCACAACACATTGTTTGGTCTACTAACTTATCCTACAAATTTATTAGTCCAACTGAGATTATTGCACCATTTTAACATTTGTCACCCACAACAATAATTTAAACAGAAGTGATGCTTTTAGGAAGACTGAAAGTTCTAGAAATTATTTGGAATAATATTAAGATTCAATCATCACACACTGACTATTAAACCACAATGAACAGACTAGTCTTAAGATATTTAAAGTTATTACTTCGAATTATTTTTCAAATGTATCAGCCCAACTGAGATACTGGCAATAATTACCATTCCTTCCCCACAGGGATCTGAAAATTTTTCCTTCACTTCTGCTGCGAGACTGTTGCTTCTATAACAACAATACAGTATATGTGGTACTTTTAGGAAGAACCCACAGCTCAAGAATTTATCTAGAATAACATTTAGTATCTCATATTTATCTGCCTAATAAAATATTCTTTAAAACTGATTTCCCATCTAGCTATAATTTACCAAAAAAAAAAAAAAAAAAAAAAAACTGAAATTTTTCAAGATTTTAAATTACGTCCAAAGGGGCGTTTTTTTAACGTTTGAGTGTTACCTTTATTTATTAAATTCATGTTCTTTGCAATTAAACCATAAATTCAGTTCAGAGGCAATATCCGCAAAATAATGTTAATTAAGCATATCTTAGAATTTCGATATACACAGTCTCGCGAGCTGGAGATAAAAGTATTTTTTTCCTATATAACTTGCCATTTCTCGCTTTTAAAGCATTGAGTTTGTAAATCAAAAATTCGTTAAAGTTTTACAAAATTAAAATCTATAATAAAACAAATTCCAAATTTGGGATTTCAGATGCCCATATTCGCAGTAGGATTTCGTCATTCAAAATTCGATGGCTCTATGTACCATCGTTTTATCACAATGCGAGAAATAGACAATCATTTATGCAGATTTTTCTTCTAACATTTTGTGGCAACAGTTTGAAAAGTGAACCAACGTTTATGAGTCCGCAAAATGCCAAAACGAAAGCAATAGTCCTTCGGGACTGAAGTCCCTTTGGACTAATAATTAAATTATGTTCCAGAAGTATGGCTGTTGCCACCGATTCTTAGAGACCTGTTGAACAAAAAACATGTTAAAAGTTAATTATGCTCTGTCTGAGGTAATTAGTGTTGTAGCTTTGAGTACAGTTGTCGCAGTTATAAACCTAGCCGATGTAGTTTAAGTTTCAATACACTAAAGCAACAGAAGTGTAAGTTGTTTTGCATAACAAGCAGTGAGGAACAAGTTTCATATCGTATCTTGTGACCACAGTAAAGATTGATGACAAACAATAACTTACTTCAACATTCAGAGATAACTTTTAAGGGTAAGCAACTAGTTACAAATAATTAAATTAGGTAGTTAGATAACCTTAGTTTTATAGATTTATTTAGACACTATTAAATTTCAATTTTTAAAATAGTTGTTAAAAAGCATTAAATTTATGATACTGATTCTTAAAGGATATTAGGATAATTATACATTAAAAGCTACATACCATTTATGTTTTGTAGCAACAACACATAAATATTTACATGTCTCTTTTACTTGAAACATTCTCAAACATAATGGCTTACATCAGTATCCTTTTCCCTACACATCTTAGCTAACAACAAATATGTTTCAGTAAGCAAACCAATGTTCCTACAACTTTCTGCTTCAACTACTAACTTGCCAATGTGACAACAATATTCCTTTGAAGATTTACTTCTCTTTACATATTATTTCTTCCTCAATAAGTTTTTTCTTCATTTTAGAATTCTTAGATTTAAAGATTTCTGTTATTCTAAAAAAAACTTTAATTACTTAGAATCTACAGAAGAAACTGCTAATTATATATTTTTAGTAAGAAGATGAACATTGAAAATAAATATGATATATGGTCAGGGCCTGTATCAGAGCCAGTGTGGCAGAATTTCTAGAATTTAGGACCCACAGATTACATCAGGTGGAAAAATGCCTAGAACCAAGCTTGCGTATGTACCTTTTTAATTTTCAGTTTTCAATTTCTTTTGCTAATGTGATAAGAATTTTTTTTAATACTTTCCATGCTCGTGTCTAGTGAAAAGAAGACAAAATAAAAGGAAGATAAACATGTTAAGAGAAAGACTTCTAAGATAAGTAGAAAATTCAAATAATAAAGCTTTCTCTTGTTCTTCCAAAAAGAAAGATATTGATCACAAACTTCATGTAAAATACATCCATTACATCTTGATACCACGAAGACATTTTAAACTAATTACAAGAGTAATTTTATTTTTGCTAGGAAGTGTTTCAGAAACTGTGCTTTATAGCATTTATTTTTCAAATCCAAAATATTCTAATAAGTCGTCAAAATGGAAGGTAATATCATTTTATAATATAACAATGAAAAATATTTTATTTTAATGTTATTTCTTAAAAATACTTTTCATTTATTATTATTTTAAATCTCCAAATGGGAGTAATAGTTAAGAGGACTTCATAAGCAAAAAAGAAATAACTTCAAAATGCTTAACTTCTTGCCTAGAAACTTGGGTATTGCATCGCTTATACATATTAGTTTGCGTATAACAAAAAATATTCCCCCGAAATGGTAATCCACACTGAATATGGCAGTCATTAAAAAAAAAAAAAAAAAAAAATTTCGGATGATTAAGGGCCTTCTGCCGACTTGGCTGAAATAATAGATTTATTAAGGCTGAAATTAAGGATCTTAGACCCCGTGATCTTAAAAAAGATAAAGTACGGATTACATGATTTTGCAACTGCCAAATGATGGTTATAATCAATTTTGTGAAGATACCCATACAGAAAGACAAAAAATGTGATACAATTGTATTGGATGATAGTCTGAAATACTGCATATTATTTTTTTTATACCCTTTTGGTTTACTTTTAATGTCAAGAGCTGTTAAAATTCTACAAATTACAACAACGAATGTACAACTGCAGACTAGAATAATTACTCATTTTACCTGTGAATTTTAGTATTAGTTTAATAGAATAACTATTCTTTTAATTAAGCTATGAATATATCATTAGTGTTGCCATACTTATCCTTAGATTTTCCAGAAACATTCTATGTTTAGTGCCAAGTTGTCCCTTACTTACTAAAAAATATTTCTAAATCTATATTACAAAGCATCTTAAATTCCCTTTATGAGAGTTAAGCTAATATTGAATAGTAGTTACCTGAGTACTAGAATTAAGTGTCTTAAATACATCATAAATTTGATCCTTAAAACCTCGAGACAACATTTCATCAGCTTCATCTAAAACAAATATTCGTATATGGTCGGTTCCTAAAAAAAATAAAAATATATGTTAGAAAAGTTTTATGATGAATAGTATTAAAAATCACCAAAAAAATTTTTCACAAAAAAAAAAAAAAAAAAAATATATATATATATATAATATATATACTAAGAGCTTTTCTGTTAATCATATCAAATACTCTCCCTGGAGTACCAACAACTACATGAACACCCATTTCAAGTTTCCGTATGTCTTCTCTGACATTAGTTCCACCAATGCAAGCATGACACTGTGCTCCCATGTAGTCACCTAATGCAATAACTACTTTTTGAATCTAAAAAGAAAGTTTTTAAAAATTAAACATACACATTTGAATTTATAATAGAGCTATATATGTGCGTGCACTTAAAAATATGCAAAACTTAATCAGATATGTATATACACCGACTACCAATAAGTATTTGGACACCTATGCAAATGACGATATCTGCAGTCCTAAGGTAGGTCACGGACTCCGCTGGTATATATCATGTAGGAAACAGCATCGGCTTTAGTCGCATGCAAGATGCCTCGCAGTTAGGAGCTCTCTGATTTCGAGAAAGGTACTGTATGTAAGGGTATCACAAATGTGGCAGATCCTTAAGGGACATATCTAGCAATCTGAAGTACTCAAAATTGACAGTGGCCTATGTGATTAAGTGAAAGGTTAGCGGTGGTTGTCGGAATGTGCCCCGAGTCGGCAGACCAACGAAAGTGGGAGATAGACCGACGAGTGCTGTCCAGAGAAATTCGGAAGAACTGCACCCAACCGATGGCCCTCATCCGCGAGGAGTTTCAACAGCCATCCGGGAGTACTGTTTCAATGAATACCATCCGTAAGGAAACACATCTGCTTGGTTTTCATGGTCGTGCTGCTGCCCATAAGCCTTTAATCACAAAGTCCAACCGCACTGCTCGATTAATGTGGTGCAAAGCACATCGAAATTGGACTGTAGATCAGTTGAAACGGGTTCTTTGGAGTGACGAGTCAAGGTTCACCTTTTACTGTTCGGATGGCAGGGTCTGGCATCTACCTGGAGAACGTCTCCTGCCTCCGATGCTTACTGCACTATTCTGGATGACAATGTGCTTCCTATGTCCTGGCAGTTTTACGGGTTGGACCCCTGTTACTTTCAGGACAACAATGCCAGTTGTCATGTTTCGACGTTAAACAAGGGTTGGTATGGTGTCAATGGAGTTTATCGAATGAACTGGTCTGCCCAGAGTCCAGACCTGAACTTTATCGAGAACCTCTGGGACGAGTTGCATCGCCGAATTCAGGGGTGCACTACCCGTGCAAAATCAGTGAAGGAACTTCTATGTCTTCTCCAAGCCAAGTGGAAGAAAATACCACTAGCTGTCATACAAAGACTTGTGGAAAGTATGCCCCGGAGGGTCCAGGCTGTAATTACCTCTCATGGAGGCTCTACCAACTATTGATTTTGAATAAAGTTAGTTTTTCTTTTCTATCACAGGTGTCCAAATGCTTATTGGTAGTCAGTGTATAATATACACAAACAAAAAATGTGTTTGTTAATCTATAACTTGATATAGCATTGTGAAAAACAACAAAAAAAAGAAACAATTGAACATTTGTATAAATATTTCAATTTGCTTAATTTTTAATTTAAAGTTTTAATTCCCACAGATAAAACTTCCATTTTGTCATCCACATGATTCAAGATATTCTTAGATTAACACACATCCTCCAGATCGAGTAATTTTCCAGTATTTGATTAAATGGTAGTAATATAAAATATTATGAAAAAGAATCTAACATCTATACAGTGGTACCTCGCGATACGATCTTAATCCGTTCCTGGACCAGGATCGTATCGTAAAAAAATAGTATAATGAACAATGTAACCTTATGTAATTTAATTAATTCGTGCAACGCCCCATATATAAACACCAAAATCGTCTATACGTAATAATAATTAGTCACAAAAGAAAAAAAAAAAAAAAAAAAAAAAAAAAAAAAAAAAAAAAAAAAAAGAAAAAAAAACAAATAGTATATAAGTACCACATACACACAAACATTTATACATTTATAAATTAAAATAACCTTATAAATAAATAAAAAGAAAAATTAATTTCACTTACCGTAAAGTACTGTACAGTCAGCGAGGGATAGTTTTTATTACGAGACTGATAAATTGCGCACAGTGCTTATAAAACTTAGACACAGTAATGAAAACTTAAAATCAATTTTTTTTAAAATTTTTCTTTTGTAATTTTTTTGCTTTTCTTTTTTTTTAAACTAACTGAACTTAAATTTGAGGTGATACATTATCGTCTTGACTTTCCTTTCTAGTCTTCTTACTAGAAACACTCGCTTCTTCACTTTCTGGGGCACTTCTCTTCGAAAAATATCTATCTAAAGAGCCTGTTTCTGACAACTCCTCAAAATGTTTCGAAAATGACTCATACAAACGTCATTCACATTGTCCATTGCACGAGCTGTACGCATTTTTTCAATAAAACTGTTTAAGTTTTCAAACCAATTGATGGCTTCCCGTATTTCCGTAGATGTCAGTGCCACCTCCACCTCAACACTCGAATGATGTTCCTCTTGAAGATCGCTGATTTGCATCACCTCCAATGCCTTCAAGTCGTCAGTGTTGAGCTCTTCCTTGTGCTCGTCGAGTAGGTTGTCAATGTCAGCCTCATTGATAACAAGCCCCAAAGACTTTGACAGAGAAATAATCTCCTCCAATGGAGCAGGATCATCCACAGCTTCTTCTTCAGTAGGGATTTCGAAACCCTCAAAGTCTCGTTCTGCAACCACGGCTGCCCAGAGTTTCCCTCCATGCTGAGTTCAAGGTGTGCCTTGAGACCTCAACCCCATGCCTTTTCTATGATTTTTAAGCAATGGACAATGTCGTAGTGACTATTCCAAAACTCAAGGAGTGCGAGTTGCGTGCTCTCTGTCACTTCGAAGCATCGTTGGAAAAGGTGCTTCGTGTAAAGCTTCTTAAAATTAGCAATGACTTGCTGGTCCATAGGCTGGAGGATGGAAGTGGTGTTCGGTGGCAGATAGAGAGCACTTTGATGAAGTCGAAGTCGGGATGTATCTGTTCTTCAAGGCCAGGAGGATGAGCAGGGGCATTGTCGAGCCCAAGGAGGCATTTTAGAGGAAGACCATTCTCATCTAAATATTTTTTCACTGCAGGTCCGAAGCAGCAATTAACCCACTCAACAAATAAAAGCCTCGTGACCCAGGCTTTGGCATTGGAACTCAAAAAGACGGCGAGCTTATCTTTCGACACATTATGTGTCTTGAAGCCACCAGGATTTTCTGAGTGGTATACACCAGTAGGGGTTTTATCCCCACTGGCATTCGCACATAGGATAAGAGTAAGCCTATCCTTCATGGGTTTGTGTCCAGGAACTTTCTTTTCTTCTTCTGTGATGTATGTATGACGGGGCAATTTCTTGCAGAAAAGCCCCGTTTCATCACAGTTGAAGACTTGTTGAGGGATGTAGCCTTCATTGAGGATTAACTTTTGAAGGCCTCGATAAATTCTTGCGCTGCTTTTTCATCGGCGCTGGCGCTTCCCCATGCCGACCACGTTATGTATCCCGATCTTTTCTTGAATCGTTCAAACCACCCATGAGATGCTTTGAACGTTGGGGCCTCTTGTGTTGATGTCCCTTCGCCTCGGGGTTTTTGAGAGGTCTTTAAAGATCGCAGTGGCTTTATGGCATATAGCAGCTTGTGTTATCGTATCACCAGCAATTTCCTTCTCTTTTATCCAAATAAGAAGAAGAGTCTCCATCTCGTCATTAAGGGCAGTTCTATTATATGAGAAGGTGGTAATGCCCTTTGCAGGCTTGCTGGCTTCTTTATTCTTTATAATGGTACTAATCGTCGATTGGTTTCGTCCATATGCATTATGCAATAGCCATGATGCGCATGCCACTTTCGTATTTTTTATATTTCCAACTTCACTTTCATGTTTATCGATGACTTCTTTTCCCCTTATCACCACCAGCACTCAAGCACATTTAGGACCCTGGCGAATAAAGTTTATCAAAATAATATTACGATCACACAATCACAAGAATATTCTATGAACTGTACGAACGCCACGCGGTCTCGAGAAGGAGAGAACGATATCACATCGACGCTTTGTGTGGACTCGGTATCCTACGATGCCGTGCAATAGGAGAACAGGATTTATAGAGAAAGGAAGATGACGTCACGTCGACCAATACCAGAACAGCTTGAATATAGTGACGTATTGAGGAACAATTTCAAGCGGCAAGAGATATTGGGATCGCATTGCGAAAAACGCATCGTTTCGCGAGCACGAATATTTGCGATATTCCACTTTGTATCTTGAACACATCGTATCGCGAGGTACTACTGTACTAAAGATATATACAACAAAACAATTAAAAGTAAATATGAAACAGAGCTCCTGCAAAAAGAATAAGAACACAGCCACAGAATTTCACATAAAATGACAACTCAAAACATGTAACAGCATCAAACCATCAAACTTAACATTTTCTCCAGAGTAAAGATAATTTTTATACAACAAAAATATGCCGAAATGAAAATTCTTTTTAAAAAGTACCTGAAAGAGCAGATACTATGTAAAAATCATTTTTAGCATTTTATAGAAATGATAAAAAAAATAAAATTGTACAAAAATGCTCATATAGAAAAATACTTTAACCAATTTTCATTTAATTCAAATTTTGCAACCTTTACGGAAGAAGCAGCATAATTTAATTCATATCTATTGCCAAGGAATGTTTGTTTTTGCTAGAACTTATATTCAAGTAAATTGCCATTAATAATGTATCTAAATTTAGTCATTGTTTCAGCATAACATTGAAAATCCCCACACATTTGACTGCTATAGAGAACTTAAAATACAAAAAGCCTAATTACTTTAGAAATTAATTCACTCCAAAATTCCATAACACCTTTCAGTAGCCCATTTAAATTCCACTCTTTCTCAACTCAACCCTTAATAAACTACTCAAAGCACATAGAACACGCACTGTTTAGAAACAACAGAAATGCAAAGAACAGCCTCAACCTTGCTCTGTGCTCAATGGCTGATGTATGGTCAGATGACCTGCAGCTGCACTTGATGGTCACTGGAGAACTGAAACACATTTTCAGACACATCTACTCACACACACACATAGCAGTAGCTGGCCATTGATGAAATGGCATTTTAAAACTAGGTAATCTAGAGAAATATCAAGTGGTTTCAGACACCAGAAATCATCTTGTGTTCAAACAATAAAATATTTTGCTAACTTATATATAAATCACTTTTTTAGAGTATAAGAGAAAGTCCGGAGATAATATATATAACAAACGAGGTTGGCAAAAGTATGGTAAAAAAAACTGGGAGAGAGGGGAAAAAATTAGGCACATCAGCAGCTATTTATAAAATTTTACACGCAATTTCATTATTTTGATGTTAACTTTTTCAAGATATAGAATATCTGAAAGAGTATAGGTATCCATCCCAGAAGGTTGCCACTAAGAAAAGTACAATAAAAACTGAAATTATTTTTATTGAAAATATTAAAAATAATCCAAAACTTGACATATTTTAACTAAAAACTATGAAAAGTCTACTATCTAGATTTAGAAATCCTTAATATTCACAAAACGTAAAATCCCAGAATTGAAAAGAACTGTTTATTTTGTTATAGAATAAATATGATAACAGGAAGACAGAATAATATAACTCTGAACTTATTAAATAAACAAATAAATTCAAAATAAAATGCAGTTTTTCATCAGATCATTTTTATGAGGCCTGCTTTTTCCAGCAACAGTAAGACATAAAAATTCATAATACAAAAACATTTTCAAAACACTATTTGTTTAGTAATATAAAAAGCAGATTTTACTTTTTTTTACATTGATTTTCAATGCTATTAAATTATTTGCAAATCACCCAAACTTTTAAACACACACACACACACACACATATATATATATTCAGCTTTAGATTAAAAAATAAATAAACCTGTTGTGCCAATTCTCTAGTTGGAGCAAGAATTAAAGCTTGACACTCTCGTACCCCAGTATCCATTTGTTGTAAAATAGCTATGGAGAAAGTTGCTGTTTTTCCAGTACCAGACTGGGCTTGAGCAATAACATCAAGACCTGAAATTGAATCTTTGATATAGAACAGAGACTGAAAAAATTGCAGTTTATATAAGTTACAAAAAAGTTCCTAATAATAAAATTAATGAATATTTCTACTCTGACATTTAGATATTAATAATTAAATCATACTTAAGGGATACTGATCTCAGACTATCACACAAAAGGTGAGATTCAATGACATGTTTATTTCCTGCTACATTTTGAAAATACAAACTGGGAAAGAATGCTGCTTATTTTCTCCAAAAAAAAAATTAAAAGTAACAAAATTAAAACTATAATTGAATATTTAATACTTCCTTCCGCACAGTACTTGTTAGCATCTATCTATACGCACATACCTACTAACTTCATAAGAAACACAAAACACTGATTAATTGCACTGGGAAAGGGAACTTACCATAAAAATGGGAAATCACTGATTATACAACTTCCACTATTCCTGCTGGAGGCACAGAAAACCGTGTTATGAATATCAGCTCTCCTCTTTTACCTAAGCACAAACCTTCTACTGCATTCACCATCATAAAAATGTTTTGACATTGTTGGGCAAGCTCAACAGAACTTCAACCAATGATTAAATTCTTGTTTCTTTGTGCTAACTATCAACTCAATAATGAGTTAATTTCCTCATATTTGAATGTGTGTCATATAAATTAGCCCATTTTATGCAACATTCACAATTAACTGAAAATTCATGTATCCACTGTAGTTTTGGACTATCACCAACAAACAGGATATACTGTAATATGTTTAAGTGCCAGAAAAAAGATTTTTTTGAAATATTTTTCTTGATTTCTTAAAAATGAAGCACATTCATTCAAAACCACTGAATCTTAAAACAAATGAGTTATCTTACATTCAGATATGACAGAATGACATGTACCCAGAGCTGTGGAGTCAGGCAGACTTTTTGGGTAAAAGAAGTCGGTTGGAGCTAGTCACTAAAAACACATTGACTCAAGACTCGGTTTTGGGGGACAGTTTCAATTTGAAATGAAATTAAAGTAAATTGGAAAAAAAAAATTACGGAGTTATTATTTTTTATGGACTATACTAATATTTTGTTATTTTATATTTGATTGACATATTAATAAATAAATATAAGGGAGGAGGATGGATGCAATATCTACCATTATTCATTAAACTGATTCATTTAGTTACTTCTTCAGCTCATAGATGGCATTATTGTAGCATAATTCACAAAAAAACCCATTGCTGCAAAATGCTACAAATCTCGTTAATTTTAGGCAAGCAGCAATGACTCTCAAAAGTCATGCCATTCTTAGGCAAGTAAGAAAAGGAGCAATTATTGATCAGATAACCCTTATGTTTTACTACCAGAAAGAATGTGGAATGATCTTGCAGAATTGGAAACTCTTCTTTCTACACCATATATAGCCACAAAAAATCTACAATCTGAAGAATTAACACGAGGCTTGTTTCTGTGAGAATGGAAAAATGTAATGTTTGTTCTTTCTAAAATGGGATACCTTATTACAGAAGGAATCATTTCCTCAATGAAGAAAAGAGAAACTAAACTGCTAGACAGTGAGATCTTGCTCGGTTCAATATATGTAGATCCAAAACACAGAACTTTGTTGAATAACAAACAAATTAAAAAGGCAAAGAAAGCCATCTATGAATTTTTACTAATAATGAAATTATTCTCAGAACAACTAGTGTATCAAATTAAGACAGCCTGCAAACACTGCAACTAAATCTCTATCATCTTCTTCCATCGATAAATTCAATTTTGAGAAATATTTGGATAATACTGAAAAAGGCTAAGCAAAGCAAATGAAATGAGAACCAAGAGACTTTAGATATAAAAATTAAAAACACAAATAAGATTTCGACTTGAAGAAATAGAGGAATATGATCGTTCTTGCAAGACAATTTTTTAGAACAAACAAATCTATCCTGAAAAGTTAAAAGTAGTAGCCCTAACAGCAACAGCTCTTCCTGTTCTTAAGTTTATCAAAGAAGATCTTGCTGAAGATATACTGGTTCTTAGAAATTACTAATGCTGGTTTTTCCATTCCATAATAATGCTAATTAATTTAAATAATCTGCTATGCCACCTTTTTCCCCCTGTGCCATTTATTACTTCTTTCATATTAACAAAAATAACCTATAACATATGTATATATGATTACATACATATGAAGGAATCAAGAGTCTTTCTTTGTTGGGTTTTTCCCTATTAAAGGGATATTTCTCTGCGGCAAGGGGCGAAATTAAGGTACTGGAGCATTTTTAGTCATGCCGCTAATTAAGCGTCTAATTGGCTGATCGACTTGCGACAAACGGCATCCGTCGTTTGAAGATATGCGAATTAAAAATTTCGAAATTTCAAGAAAATTGGATGATTGGTTCCCAAATTACGAATTTTCCTTAATTAAACTAAATGAGTCGGAAAAATGCACCAAAAATATGTATCTCCCGATCTAACAGACCGATTTCGTTCAAATTTTGAACTTCCCGCATGCTCAAATGAACGTTAGCGTCGATTGTAAACTGTTTTGCTAATTAGGAGCCTAATTAGCAGGTTCATTAAAAAAGCTATTAAAGTTCCAGGAGTTGGACATTCTCTCTACAGACTCCACAGCCCTGCATGTAATGGTCAGCAAGATTTTGAAGAAATGTTATTCCATTCGGAATGCATATTAATAAAAAGTACATAAAATGAAAATGTTCAAATGCATAAATGTCCTAAATAATCAACTGATGAAAGACTGTACAATACATCTACCAGATACATTCTGTAAAATAAATGAACATAAAAACTTATTTGATCAATAAGGATAACAAGTGAACTGGAGCATGCATTGGAGCAAACAGAAATAAATATAAACATTCTTAGAAATCATCACTTACAATAAAATTTAAGAGCTTTCATAGTAATTTTACACAAAATTAATTTGTGGAGAATTTTCTGAGGGATATTGATACGCAAAAAGAAACTATGAAAACTCTCATACAGAGTCTAACTATCATGCTGCACAATATTTGTGCTCAGCTTTTAGTGGACCTCAGAAACTGTAATATAAATACACTAGAAAATACTATTACAACCATGGAGGTAAGAAAGGAAGGAGTGGCCAACCGGCACTAGAAGTGAAGCACTGCTTTGAAGCTTCGGTCACCAGATGGAGTGTTCTTTGGTTACATCCAGAAGCTCGCCTGACCGTGTTCTGATAGTATTTCGACACACAATAGTTCCATACAAAATCGAAAAAGGGATACTTTCGCATGAAATGAACATTCATAGCGTGATGGATAATAGCAATTTGTATAGTTTAGTGACATTTACGCAAAAATCACATCTTTGTTATTTTTCGATAACTAACAACAGCGTGACTTTGATTATGAATTTGTTTCATAAAATTCTAAGCTGTTGAACTACAAAAATATAGATTTTAGCAAAAATGTTATGCTTAAAGAATGAAAAATACCTTATAATACCTTTAAAATTGTATATGTCTTTCGATACCCTTGATAGAGTATTTGCTACTTTTATTTTATGTTCCAAACACCAAAATGTTTTAAATAAAATTTTTTTACATGCATATATTATTGTAACATGTAAAATTTTTTAGAGGAGAGGCTTTACTGCTGCTATTTTTAAACTCATCATTTTAATTTTTATATATCTAAAAAATAATCCCTTTGGGCTTACACGTTTTACTTATTTGGGTCAATTATAAATAAAATATAGTGAATGCACAGAAATTAAAGATTTGGACATGCCAGAAATGAAAAATAGGAAATATGTATGGGTATTTATGCATGTGCTTGCAAAAAGCATGTATCTGCCTTTAACAAAATACATATATATTCATTAAATTATTTATAAATGTATTTGAAATGAAGAATTTATTCACTTATAAACAACTCTAAAAGTACCGTGAAGAAATCTAATTATTAAATGTATCTAATTTATAATGATTATAAATGCTATCTAAATATATAATAACCTTAATATTGAATTGTAAACATAAATTGAAATCCTGTTGACAAATACGTTATAAAAATATTTAAGCAAGAATTGTTCGTATTGTAAAGCAAAGGCTACGAGATGCGCACTTAAGAACGTAATAAAGAGTTTTGGAATATGTATTGTTGAAATGAAGAGTAAAAAAAATCTGATAAGTATAATTAAAAGAATTATTCCTCTTACATTTTATAATAACTCAGTTACAAGTTTTAAATAATACTTTAAAAAAAAACTTATTTTATTCCCTTTCAGAAATGTTCAGAGAAAGTCAAGTACTATTTAAAGTATTTTGCTAATTCCTAATAATTCTCTAATTTAAAATGAACCGAATAGAGCATTAATTATAAATTGACTTACATTTTTCGATTTAAAAGATGCCTCAGAAGCCAAAAAATCATGTCATATTTAAGAAAGTATTTTAAAAAGAAGCTCTATAAATAGAAAAGAAATAATGCATAATTTTAATATTAATAATACAATAAACTTCGATCTTAATTTTTGTACCTTAACCGAATAAAATCAAATTACCTTAAATTTTTGAAAATATTTCATTCAAATTAAACCATTCTGAGAAAACTGTTCTGCAAAAAGTATAGCATTTAATTCCGTTCAGGCTGAAATGTTGTTTAAAAATATGTTGTTTTCATGTACTTAGGACTCTGAAGTGTTGTAGAAAAAGAAAATATAAACATAATTACAAAATATTTACATCCGATTGTGTCAAAACCCATTGAACTTAATGGTAAATGACCCAATGTTTTGGTCACCACATAGGGATCGCCAGTGCTTCAGAGCAGGGTACCGGAGAAACCTGTTTAGGGCCACTCCATCTTCCTTCCTACCTCCATGATTACAACTAACAATAAAGCACCACCATGGCAATACTAAATAGAATACTGATTATTCAATTTGACATCTAAGGTATAATTTTAAAAACACAACTCCAGATGGACCAACCTTAAATACACCAACACTAAGCTTAATTTATCCTTCCTCTATT